GTCAGCTTGCCTTCGCATTAACCAGAGGCCCGCATCTCGTCGTCCCTGATGCCCGCTGCCGTCGCCCCCATTTTCACCTCCGGCGTCAATCTGATGGATGCCCCAATTTGGGTCGGACAGACCTCGAGCTAAGGATGGGCACCGAGGGGGAAGGGAAGAAACAGGGTGCTGGAACTTCACTGATTCACGAACCCTGAATACAAAGTGAGGGTCCTAAGAGCATGAGGAACCTACGGAAAGTGGAGAGATACACGGGAGGGATACAGGGAACTCTCGAAAGAGTCTCTCCGTGGTCGCCTCTTCGAGATGGCGGGTCTCCAAGGTTCTTTTTCTTCTTTTCTCCTAGTTCTTATAAGCGAGGGCTGCCGGATTGTCTGGTCACTCTGTCCGAATCTACGTGGTTGCTTAACGCCCCGACCAGCTAATCGTTAAGAGGATCTTATCGGTCGCCGTCCTCGGCTGTCACCGACCGTTGGGCTGTTTCTTGCACAGGATCTGTATACCCGATTGCGTTCTGCCCTTGGATCCGGATCCTGGCCCACGTGGATCCTTACTTGCGGCCATGGCCTCAACACAATCATTGTCGCCGTCCACCGCTGCCACCGCCTCCATCCCTGCCTCCGCCCATCACCGTTCCGCCTCTCACTCCCTGCCGCCGCCAACTACCATTACCATCCCTGCTTCTGCCGCCGTACCTACGCCCTCCCCTTCCTTCACCGCTCGCCACCTGCAGCCACCATCATCCACCACCATTTCCACGACCATCCGACCGCCTCCACCGTAGCCGTTCCCGCAATCGCCGCCATTCCGCCCTCCGGCCGCCCTCCAGGTCGCTAACCCTCCTCTTCTCTCTCACCGTCCTCGCCCGATTTGCCCCCCCTTTCTCTCTCTCTCTCTCTCTCTCTCTCTCTCTCTCCCCCTCCGGCTGGGGTATTAATCAAACCGGATCGTGAGCCCTGGCTTCCTGGCCCAAACGGGCCACTTCCTTCGAACCGCGCCAGTCCGCCTCCTGATCCAAGTCATCTGGCCAACCATCAACACACTCGGTCAACCGACAACATAAAGGTCAATGGTCAACGGTCAACCTTCGTCCAACGGATCTAAAGTCACTAGTATATCTTCTCCACTCTCTCTGCTTCATTTGCTAATTTAATATACTTTACTGCTACGGTCGCACGAGGGACTATAGGATAACCACCTTTGTATGTTCAAATGACCTTAGCCCCCTTAGAGGATATTATCTAATTTATTAAATTACGGGTATCCTACTCAGCGGTTTGCCTAAACTGCAAGATCCATTCGTTTTATCAATGCAGGGAAGTCTTGATCGCCATAAGACTCCTTACGTTTTATCATTTGTTAGCAATGTCGTAGTATATTTAGCTGATTCTTTGGCAACAGTAACGACGGGGATGGTGGAGAGATCCGACTTGTAGGGGACCTCGTACTAATCTTTCACAGGGTGATAGATTGTGAAAATAAGGTATCGATGGGAATGTATTCGAGAATCGTGAGATAGAAGGATGGGTATGTAGGGAGAAGGGATAGCAACGACAAAGGTGATAGTGGGATAGAAGAAGAGAACTGAAGAGAGAATATTATAGATCGGGAATAACACGGTCCTCGCGACCAACCGAAGCTAGGGCGACGGGATCAAAGATCAAAAAGAAGAAACTCTCATTCTCAAGCTCTCTGTCTTCCTCTCGGCCTCGTGGTTCTCTTCTAACTTTTTGCAAAACGTAAGTTAAGCTAGTAATAAAGATAGTCGCTCCTCTCGGTGCATTTATGGTGCCATTGTGGACGAATGGTGCACTAAAACTGTCCTTCCTTAGATGACGCCAAGTCACTACCATTCTCCTCGCCGTGCTGTTCTTTCGACAGACGGTTTTGTCGAGAGTGTTGATCCCGTGAAGTATCTTGACTCTTTCCTTTGTTCGCCTGCAGCTGCTGATTAGGCACCTGCTGACCTGACATTAGGCGGATTGATGCTGCATCACAGATGGAGGTCAGCACAGCAGCATCCATCATGGCATCTGCGGTCAGCTGAGCTTTGTGGCGGAGCCTTCTCTTTCAGTGTTAAACCTTCTCTCCTCCAAGTGACAGACAGAGATAGCAAGGCAGCGGTAAGGACTAAACCGTTTTCCCGCTGATTCATTTTTTTTCCCGTTAGTTTTCTGTTCAGAGTTTGCTTCGATAGCTTTGATTCCGTCCTTGGATGACAGAGGGGCAATTTCATTTTCATCTCATAATTGAAAGTTTTTTACAACAGGAACAATGTCTATGATTTTGATTCCACTTTGACTATTGATTTACCTGTGAACGTTGGTTATTCTCTTTCCTCCCTTCCCTACACTTCGTCGCTGCTGACTTCTTGCTGGCGAAGACGTAGCAGCAGCCACTAGAAATTAGAAAAAAACTATTTTTCTATAGTTTTTTTAGCTTTTTTTCCTTTCAATAAATCTTTGAGAGTGGAAGGTGACATTAAGGATTCGATAGTTATCCCAGAGGATAGACCTGAATTCAGTAGGACTTTAAAGTTAATTTCTGTGTTCTAAGTTCAGTTATAAATATTAGAGTTGACAGCTTAACTCAACGATTAAGAGGCTATCACTGCTCCCTTCCCAAGTTCATCAGTGCTGCTGTCGGTGCGAAGAGAAAGGTGAAGAGGCGTAGCCGAAGCAGCGTGAGCAGGATTCTATTGCTACGGAACAATAGATCATGTGTGAGTAATGCTCCCACTTGTTTGAATGATGGGCCAAAGAGCGAGCACGTGTTGCCTTCTGTTCATCCCGCAAACCTTGTTTGAAGTAATCACCTACCTATGCAAGACAAAGATTTCATTGAAACTAGCTGTGCAGGAGTACTCTCTAAGAGTTGACAGAATCCCCTCCGTCTCTGCAGCAGGATGAGCTTGAATGTCGAGATGAACTCTCTCGTTATTTAAATATAGTAGAAAGCGCTTTCGTGACTCTTTTCCTTTCTACTCTGTAAGAGGACTTTCCTTCATCCGAATTGGGAGGTCATTATAGCGAAGGCTCAGCTTTTCTTTTCTTCCAATTCTGATATATCGGCAAGATTCAATGGAAACTCGACTTCCATTATAACAGCTATGCGATCCACGTATCAGGAGATAATCAGCGGAATAGGGATTTTTTTGTCATATCTTTTGACCTTTTAATCTTCCTTTCTTGCTATTTTACAATCATTTCAATTGGAATTTGAACTAATGCTTCCTAACTTGATACAGAACAGCTTGGTATCAACATCGACTCCAAATCATCAGGTTTTATTTCATTATTTATCCATGTACCTGTCTGATGTGTTGTTATTGATATCTTGGTAATTTGTTGACGCATAGAACCTAACACTAACTTTGGCCATGTCATAGGTGTTACATGAGAAGATCATCCTTTTTCTCTGCTAACTTTTGGGTCAACATAGTTTCTCTCCCCAGCCTTTGATGGGTGGGGTCACTATAAACATTTGCTAGTGGACCAACACAGGTTTTAGTGGCTCCAACACTTTCTATCTCCTACTTTTTGTTCTAATTAAGTTTATTGTGTACTTTTTGATGTATCTAAATGTCTTTCTTTACATATCTTTTTTACATATAAGCACATAAATATTATTTCCTAAAAAACAGAACTACACCTAATTTTTTGGATCTTGGTTCATGAGTGAAGATTTTGAATTATATTTAAAATTAAATTTTCATTCTATTTTTATGTGATGTTTCACTGACAACAAAATCATCAAACCCACTATACACTATCTGAAGATCAATGTCTTCGTATGTAACTTTGTCTAACAATAAAATATTATAAAAGCAATATTGTTTTAGTATAGGCGAAATTTATGATGTCAAACAATAAAATTTCGTCAAAATCAAGGTTTCAATATTTTAGAACATTTTACATTAAAGACAGTAAATCATTGACTACCATCTCCTAGTATATAAGAACTTTGCATTAAAATTTATCCTAGTGCGTTAATTAGAAAATTGGTGTTGTTGAATAGTTTAGTAGTCAATGGTAAGAACTATTCCTTTCAGATTAATTCATTTAGACCTATTCCTTTTGGATTAAAGATTTAATTTCGATGTTTTGTTCTGCGTGCTTATAAGCACGATTAAATCTTCTCCGTTCACAACGTATAAATATATAGTAATTAGCACGATTGTCTAAGCATTCTATGATGTAGTTTTCTATTTTCGTACAATGAGATAAATAGATATTGGTCACTCTGTATAAAATGATGATCGATGTTGTTAGAAACAAATCTCAAAATCAATGCACGGTTCTGCATCTGTGTACTTGTTCAAAAGCACATGAAAGTCTCTGCACGTTTTGTAAACTTTTCGTGTATTATCCTCTGTGAAATGGCTGCCGCAACAGGTTAGGCTGCCTATCACTTTTCCCATGAACTTTTCTCTTGGCCTAAATGTCCAGTTGGCACTACCAGAGAGTTCTGAAACGTTCATAGGGAACCAAGACAGGCCCATGATTACCACCTTTGTTTTCCATGTGCTACTAAGTTCATTTAAAAACAACCGAAGGGTACGATTCAACAACATTATAATATTCGCCATTAGTCATATGCAAACGTTATTGCATGAGGTTGAGATTTTTAAACTTTCCCTACATTAACGTAGGCAGAAAAATTCTCACGATGCTGACTACTGCTAAACATTGAATTCTGTTCATTTTCTGCTGTGAAGGACGTGTGGACTTGAGATAAGCTGCTTTGCGTAAATGTTAAATTAAAGAGCGTTATTGGTCAACGGAAGACATGAATTTATAATTGAGAAACTTGAGGGCAGGAGACTATCTACCATGAGCTGGAACAGTTATCTCTTCATTCATGCTGCGGATTTGCTAAGTTAACGACTATTCATCAGGGTCGCTTGCTTCCCCCAGCCCTCTATAAATTCCTTGTACAACTCCACAGCTGAGATGTGGACTTTGAAGCTCCGACTCCTCTCTGATTCCTCATTCTGGGCATCAAGGGGGTTCAAGTGTCTGGCTCATTATGGCCTCAAAATTTCGTACCTCTAGAGCACTCCTGCTCATTTTCAATTTGCTCTTCTTCACATTAGTTTCAGGCCAAGGCGCACCTAGACCTCCACCTCGAGCACCGCCTCCACCACCTCCGCCACCACCACCACCACCACCGCCTCCACCTAGACCACCACCTCCACCTCCACCTCCTCCACCACCACCTCCACCTCGAGCACCGCCTCCACCACCTCCGCCACCACCACCACCACCACCGCCTCCACCTAGACCACCACCTCCACCTCCACCTCCTCCACCACCACCTCCACCTCCTCCACCACGACCACCACCTCCTCCGCCACCTCCTCCACCACCACCACCCCCTCCTCCTCCTCCACCTCCTCCACCACCTCCACCACCACCTCCTCCACCACCACCGCCTCCTCCTCCTCCACCTCCTCCACCTCCTCCACCTCCTCCACCACCTCCACCACCACCTCCACCTCCGCCTCCTCCTCCACCACCACCACCACCTCCACCACCACCACCACCGCCTCCACCACCTCCACCTCCACCACCACCACCACCACCACCTCCTCCGCCTCCACCTCCTCCTCCTCCGCCTCCACCACCACCACCACCACCTCCTCCGCCTCCACCTCCTCCTCCGCCTCCTCCACCACCACCACCTCCTCCGCCTCCACCTCCTCCTCCTCCTCCACCACCACCACCCCTCCGCCTCCACCTCCTCCTCCTCCGCCTCCTCCACCACCACCACCTCCTCCGCCTCCACCTCCTCCTCCTCCTCCGCCTCCTCCACCACCACCACCTCCTCCGCCTCCACCTCCTCCTCCTCCTCCGCCTCCTCACCACCACCCCTCCTCCGCCTCCTCCTCTCCTCCTCCGCCTCCTCCACCACCACCACCTCCTCCGCCTCCCACCTCCTCCTCCTCCTCCGCCTCCTCCACCACCACCACCTCCTCCGCCTCCTCCTCCTCCTCCTCCGCCTCCTCCACCACCACCACCTCCTCCGCCTCCACCTCCTCCTCCTCCTCCGCCTCCTCCACCACCACCACCTCCTCCGCCTCCACCTCCTCCTCCTCCGCCTCCTCCACCACCACCACCTCCACCAAGCTGTTTGATTCAGGTTACATTACTAGCTGTGTGCGCTCCAGTTCTCGCAGTCCTGAAACTCTTGGGGATCCCAATAGGCTATCAACTTTGTTGCAGTATCATCAAGTCGATTCCAAGCTACAACCTTGCCACGTGCCTTTGCCTGGCGGTTAAAGCAAATATTCTCGGACTCAATATTCAGTTCCCAGGCGACATTAGGCCGCTGCTGAATCTATGCGGCGTGACGGTACCTATTGGCCTGGCTTGTCCGTAGATTACCGAGGACAAAGAGTGATGCGTGGTGTTTACGACTCTTGACGAGAGGCACTGTTCTCTTTCGCTGTTCTGTTGAGTTTCAATTAAAATGTTGTAACAATATATCGCACAGTTGTACCTGTCAGTGAAGCCTGAGATGTAACAATATGTCGCACATGCGTTCAGTGATGTCTGAGGTTTAATATCAGATCTGTTTCCCCTAACACCACATGTTTTTGAATGGTTGTTTTCCTGGTAGGCTTTCGTCAGGAAACTGTCTGAAATTCTTCCTCAGTGCAAAATATTAACGAGGGTGGTGCACAGGGAGGCATAGGAAGGGAAAGGTGAACATGCAAAAGGGAAACACGTCTTGTTCATAGTTCAGTTTTGCAGAAATGATCTTGCTTTTTGGTCTCCGGACTTTTTCGAAGAGTAGAATGCATGACTAATCAAGTCGTTTTAGCGTGCCACTTCGGAAGATGACGAGAAAGGTCTCGAGTTTCATTTTTTTAACCGCTATAAGTTAGTACTTCCGCAAAGGAAGCTGTGTGATCCACGTATCAAAATATAACCTGTCGAAAGAGTATGAATTTTAGGAGGGCATGCCGCACAATTTGTGCCATGAGTAATAACTACGTCGAAAAACGTTTTTCTGAATGCAAATTGCTACGTCAAGTTAGATTAGAGCATTTTCTTTAGCTACGGGATAGCATCTGAGCCACACAAGTTTATGAAACCACATCTCAACAAAACTCTGATTACCACATCATGGTATCATCATTTGTAGTCTTCTTTCGCTTTAGATCCTTCCCGTAACAACCTCTGATCTTGAACGAGGCTAAATGCAGTCCACTGGCCAGTGGCAACATAGGGGAGTTAGGGGAGGCAAATTTCTGGGAATCAACTTCATCGTTCATACCCAAATCTTTAACGCGCATCATTTGGCATGATGAACGGATTGCGAAAGAACCGGAAAGGCCGCAGATTGATGTTGTTGCAGAAGTTTCTCACAACGCATGCCTAGCATACCTTGCAAGTCCGACTAATTTCTATTTACTAACCATCTAGACAATTCTTCAACGGCATCAATTCTTCAAAGACATGGGCGTTATGCGAAAATAATTGTGATTCAACGACGTGTTTTTAGCTTTGGGAAAACAAAGCTGGAACTAGCTCAATGTCTAGAATTACGAGCTTTTGCACAGTTTGCTTCCCGACTGCGATAAAGTTAAACATAATCAATTCGTATGAGGCCAACAATTACGAAACTGGTAGAATAATGCCTACAATTATTTACCATTTGAAATTTCTTCACATGAAAATAGGGTGGGGGCATGGTCGGTACTATGTATCTACACAACGTACACTAAATGCACCACGCGAAATGAAACAGCCAATGCAGAATAAGTAGTACAGAGGAAAATGACCCGAGTATCTACGTAAGACGGGAGAAAGGGAACGAATTCTGAGGTCGATGTTTAATAGGTCCGAATTCCACCGTCCTCATCACGTGCTCCACGCAATAGACTGAAGAATGTATTATTCCTGTCGCTGAAGTCGGTGTTTACTCCATCCGTCAACAGGCATGTATTGAGTCGATATGCCTTTATTTTGTTGACTTGGAAATATCCACACGATCTTCTGAGAACGTGAAGTTTTAACCGCAAGATAGGCTTCTTTTAATGCTTGTTTCTGTTGAAAATGACTTGCTCCAGGATTGATGAAGCTCGGTGGCTCATCTAATTCACAGTCTCCTACTTCATAAGAGTCGTCTCTCCGAAAGCCTTGCTTTCATTAAGATCAGTGGCTCGCACAATAACATTCCGAAAAGAAGGGAATTTACCTTACTTCACCTGTCAGATTCATTCTCATTAAAAGCTCCTGTCGAAGTCAAATTATAATGACATGCTAAAATCTTTGCTGTCGGACAGAAAATTTCAGAACACCTAATAAGTTCTTCAAGTCACCTGGTGAGCCGATTCACTAAAGATAAACTTACCTTAAAATTAGCAAGGTACTTTGACCGATTCAGATGTAGCAATCGCCCTGAAACAGAGCCACGGACAACTGTTTAGTATCAGTCGGAAGTGATCCATTCTCGGTTGTCATGTCTATCTAATGTCAAATTTCAAAAAATAATATGGCTAGTCGAAAAAAATATCATGTTATCATGATTTTTTTTTGCGATCGACAATGAGTGATTAGGCAGAAAGATAATTGAACTGATTGATGAAAGTTCGATCACGGAACCTCAATTCGAGATTTCAAGAAGCATACTGTAGACAGCTGTCATATCACGTTAAGAGACGGATGTAGCTACCTCTTCACGGATTTTTCGTCTGACCAACGAAGGGTTAGCAACAGATCTGGACTACTGATCACGTGGGTCTGAGAAACTGCGATTCAAATTTAAAGCTGTTTTAGGCTTGGAAATGAAATGGAAAACCGAATTCTGTCTTTTGCCAAATCAGTGCCTATCTAGAATCGACTCTCTCAGTTCCTTAGTAAACCGATTGTTTCCGATAACTTGATTGAATTATTGTCTGAGACCGGCCTTTCGTGTTATCCCACGAATTTCATTTCTACAAGTATACAAGGCTTGATAGATAGCCAAAGTATCTTGAATCTTAAATAGTGTATTTTGCCGAACCAGTTCCTACCTTGAAACGACCATCTCTGGGTTCCTCAGCAGACTGCTTTTTTTCGATAACTTGATTGAGACCGTCCCTTGCCAGTCATCAATTACTTGAATTTTTATTCCCAACAAGCATATAAGGCCTGATTGAGAATCAGTGTCTTCAACCCGTAGTTTGTCTTTACGACTAGGGATTTCTTGAATGTTTTATACAGCGTAGTAGCATCTTAAATCAACCGACGCCAATTTTTACAGCGCTATCTGTTTACCATATTTAACATGTTGGGTGCTATCTCTGAGAAGTTATCAGTTAGTTGATGGAGGCTGGTTTATCGGCTTTTACCTTGCATGTGTTTGTTTATTAGTTGCAATCCTCGATTTTTAACTGTGAGCAGTTGTATCTGACTGAATGTTGGGGAACACGCCCATCTTTAGCCCAATGCTCGAGTTGACCTAGGGCAACATCTCTCCTCGCCAATAAGCGGCTGCTGATCTTGGTGGAAGCTCCATGTTCGCCAATAAGCGGCTGCTGATCTTAGAAATCAAATCTGCCTCTCTCCTCACCTGCTCATTTGTTATCTAAGCACTCTCTCTTGCTTTCTTTCTTCTTCCTCTTTTACTGAATGACTAGAGATCCTTATCCTTCTTAGGAAGCTCACTGTCATAAGTGCTTGAGCTAGCCTCCCATTATTAGCGGTTTTTTCGGTTTTTGGGGGACAAGGCCAGCCTACTGCTCTACCTTGACCGGTACTCGCTCTCATTGCCCTGGCCTTCGGGTCTTCCTTTCTCTCTAGTTTGGCCTGATATGACAAACATAGCTGCGCCTTCCTAGCATTTTGCCTTTTATTACCAACCTGTCGTGTTACAGGTGGAGTTACTAGGTGTTCACCGCTGCTCGTAGGTAGAAGGGGTGGACAGTTCCTTTCGCTATTAGTAAGCACTTCATCACTTTCATTTTGTGGGATAACCCAAGGAATATCAGTAAGTGGAGGGCAGAGGGTTTTGATCCATTGTGACTCGGTTCCTTTGTGTAGAGAGATTCTACAAAAAACTTGGTGTCCTTATTCTGCACATCAAACGGTTGCGTCATTCCTCATCCAGAGAAAGTGGTATTGTATACAAGAGAGGCATCTTGGGTGGACGACCACAGTCACATGTGCATCTAGTTCAGTGGCTTGGAAGCAAGGAACCTTGACCATCTCTCAAAGTTATATATATTTTCCTGATCGATGTCTACTGCTTGATGTGGGAGTAAAGAATGATACATTTGCCTCTAATTAGAAGGAAGAACTGTCATAAGAATCTTCCTTGGGTATTGATCACTCCAAAACATCGTAATTAAGGTGTCAAAAATAAAGTTAATAATGTTCAGATGTCTTCCTAATGATGCAAATGAGTATAGTTTAAGGAGTATCTGAGTCAAACCACAGGGAGTTGTCTAAATTAAGGTGAGATTTAACTTGTACTCAAAATTAAAGTTTTGATGAAGAATGAGATGAGGAGATAGAAGAGAGTTGACTTTGGCACACTAAAGAGGGAATAGATGAATCTTCTTTTGATGAGTTTTCAGTCACCAAGAGAAGGGAAATCAGGTGAGAAACAAATGGTGAAATTTGGGATGATTGTTAATTTCTTAACCCTAATGTGCATAAATAAAAACTCTATTCTTACATCTTCCTATGTCACCTAAGAGATCAATAGAAAGACTAAAGTAGATTAATCTACTCCTAAGTTACTTCCTAACTTCTTATCTCTCTCTACTTCCAATGAATGCTCAACTTTGATGAATCAAAGGAGCAAAACAACATAGAAGGAGAAGGATCAAAAAAATGATCTAAAATAACCTAAATCTGTCCTACCTTGTTCACTCTTGGAAATGTGATCAACTTGATAAATCAAGAGATCTACATACATCAAGAGAAGCAAGAGAAGGGTAGAAGGGTTAGATTCTATCCTATGATCAACCTAGTGTCACTCTATAGATCAAAGAATCAAATCCCTACTTATTCTTCAACCGAATCAACTCTTTCTCACCAAGAGGGTCTCAAGAAAAAGAGAAGACTAAGAAAATAAAGTTCATTCATTCAAAATAAAATGTACTACATAAAGAAAAAACCAAATACATGAAAGATGCCTTCTATATGTCGTTTGGGGTGCTCAAACGGATCCCTCCTTGGAGTTCTTGGATTGGCTCAAGGAGTAAAGTTCTTGGAGATCTCTTCTCCCTTTTGGGCACCCCTCTCCTATGAACGGAATGTCATCTCTCTCCTCTAGATGGCTCTTTATTCCCCCCTTGCCCGTGCCTATTCTCAGCCCTTGGATCATGGTGGAGAGTGCACAGCCCTTTGATTAGATTTCTCTCTCCAAGGGCAGCCTAAGGGAGGTGGGCGGCTGCTAGGATGTCTCCCCACCTTCCCTCACCCTAGGACTTATCTCAGCCCTTGGATTGGGCTGACTGAGGGGCTGAGATAGTCCCAAGGGTTGTTTAATGAGGGAGAGGGGCGTGGCTGATCAGATGGTGCCACATACCCCTCCCTCTAACTAAGGAAGAAATGAACCGCCCACCTTAAGTGGAGAGAAAACGCCTCCTTCTTGTTGGGCCTCCTTAATTAATGTGGGCTGTCCCGCTGACCCATGGGCCTAATATGACCTGAAACATAATATTAAAATAAAGCCCATTACCCCTTAAAAAAATAAATATAATAAATTAGGCATAAGGGAGAAATCAACATGGTAAATCTAAACTCATTTATACATGAGTTAACTTAGGGATTAACAGATGCGTAATAAACCATAAAAATTATATGGATTATGTTTTATAATGTAAATAATCATGAGTCAAAGCACTGATATTAATTCGGATTTAATAGAAAATTCCGGAAAAATAGAAAAACCTTTAGAATATTCACTTAAACTTGAAATAAATCTTATAATACTCAGAAAAATCAGAAAAATCAGAAAAATCTATTAAATTCAGTAAAATTACTT